CCTCCACAGCCTACAGAGTAGGGGTGTAGACAGCCTGCCTGGGGAGGTGGTGAGATGTCTTGGCGGCCCAGGCCAACCTGGGACCCTCCCCATGGCTGACCCTCAGGCTGGTTTGGGAGGGGTGGGCCCTTCTCGCCCAGATGGCCAGTCCCTTTGGTGAATCTGGCCATGTCTAGGTGCCAGCAGAGGGTACGATGGCAGGTCCTGTCTGCGGAAGCGCTGGCTTGTCACCTTGTGTTCCCCCTGTGCTTCTTGGACCCCACCCTGCTCCCCACCCTTTATCCCCCTCCCCCTGCAGCACCCTAACTCCAAGACGCCACCCGTGGCTGGCGCTCCGCCGTGGTGAGGGGCGCGCACGACGATGCCCGCTCTTCCTGGGTCCAACGGGTGTGAGCACGAGGGTAAATCCGGACCGGAACATGGAGGATGGTGGTGGGGAGGCGGCCCGCGGGCTCTGCCTCAGTGGGACAGAGAACGCGCTCCGTTGAGGGAGCGGTGCAGCGGCGCCCCCTGCTGGCCCCCAGGGCTGAGGACGAGCTGCCACGTACCAGGCCCGGGCGAGGTGGGGGGTCCGAATTGCCCTCGGGTGGGCGGTGCTCAGAACCGCCTGGCACGGTCAGGGTTTGGCTTACACGGTGTGTCTGCTCTAGCGTGTCCACTTCCCGGAACTCTCAGTCCATTCCCCCACGTGTGACCTCATTTGTGGGGCACCGCTTTTTCCCAGGTTTGCTCGGAGCACCTTCGTCCTTTCAGAGGAGGGGTATCTCCGGAAAACAGTGCCTATGGCAAGCACTGAAATTGCGCCAGTCCAACCATCTGACATCCATCTCTGCATCTTTCAGATAACTTTACTGTAATATCAGCTCAAAAACAGAAGTCAAGCTTGTTAATCTTTTACTTGGCACATTAACGCACTACATGAATATTTCAACCGCATCTTCCTTGCTTCCACTGATGAAATTGGTCTACGATGTGCTCAAAGTCACTTTTTTTCAGTTTCTTCTCTTTCTGTACTCAGCAGAGCAAGACCACACCATCTGCCTTGACACATGGAGGCTCTCAAATACAAAAGTCTCAGTTTTAACTTGCTGAATGATCTCTCACAGCTGGTGATGGAAACCACCCAGGGCACGCGCCATCCCTGCCGTCCCTTAGATACGCCTCTGCTGTTCAGGGTGTTTAGTCAGAATCCCAGGATAGCATATGTAAGCCTGGAAAGCCCACCAGATGACTCCCCCAGAGGAGGGCCTGGAGCCCTCTGGGCAAGTGCACCAAGTGGGCCAACCACAGAGAGTCCCTGAGGGGGTGTATACAGACCACGTTCGTCCCTGGGGGCAGCTGCGGTGGACAGACAACAAGGAGGCTCCCCAGCTTCTGCTACCGAGGAAGGCAAGCAGGGCTGGGCAGGAGCAAGGGCGCGTGCACGCAGTAACCATCCTGGCTTTCTGCATGGGGACTGGGGCTCAGACCCAACCAAGGACTGATAGGGTCAAAGGGTCCTACGCAGGAGGGCAGGTGTGCACAGTCACACACCCAGCCATCCTCCAAGGAGTACGTGGCCATTCATTGGGACCTGAACCCTGAGGACAGGGAGCCCAGCACCTCAAGGACGCGACCAGGCCTCTGTGGCCAGTGCTGCTCTCTCCATGGAAGGCAGTGGGGCCAGGGCAGGAATGGGCTCTGCGGCAGGTCCAGCCTGTGGGGTTTCAGCCCTGCCACCTGGGGCCTGAGACAGCTGACTGTGGAGTCAGAAAAGGTGTCATGTGGAGTTCATGGCAAGCCCAGTGGACACTTTTAGCACAGACCCCTGGGAATTTAGAGCAAGGCCCGCATCTGCCATGGAGGTTGTAACCTTTGCCGTGGTGGAGATGGACAGGGGCCACCATGGGACCTTGACTGTCCAGAACTGCCACCATGACTAGGGTCCTTCAGACCCACCAAGTCATAGTGCCCGTGGCCAGCAACATTCCATTCCAGCATGGGAGTGGAACATTCTGGATTGAACAGGCTAATTGCCCTGACCCCGTGTCATCCTCTGCTGCTGCACCCACACTGGGCCCCTGCTGTCTCCTGGGGCTGCAGGGGGCCTCCTCTTGACCAGCTGTTGGAGACTGAAGATATCTGAGCCTGGTTCTTGAGGTCCACTAGGTACAAGGATGCAGGATGGACACAGGTGGTGGCTGCAGCACATCTCCCCCAGGGGTGATCTGAGGGCAGAGTTGCAAACAGGGCACCCGGCCATCCTCTGTATAAGGAAAGAGGTGTGGCCCAGGATGGAATGTCCAGGGAGGCGTGAGCAGGGGAAAGGGCTGGGCAGCTTGCTGGGGGCCTGGCAGGAAAGAGTGCATGGTGAGGACGTGGAGTCTGGGATAAGGGCTGGGGATGGCCATGAAGCACGGCAATTGAGCCTCTTGTTAACCTCCACCAGAGCACTTCACCCCAGAAGTGGCCCTGATGTGCTAAGATTAGGGCTGACATCTGCCATCGTCAGCAGTCCTAGGGCTGGCTCAAAGCCACAAAAACCAGAAGAGGGACAGGCTAAGGGTGAAGCCATGTAGGTTAGATGCTAGAGGAGCAAGATGATGAGCGTCTGCTGCAGCCCTGAGCCAGCTGCAGTGGCAGAAGTGAGATCCGTTCCCTTGAAACCTCCCTCTTCTGAGCTTCCCCAGGGAAGAGAAGCCCTGTGGAACTGAAGGGGCTGCTCCCAGAACCTATAAGGGAAGTCCATCCGGGTGGGTCAAGGGGTGGACTGTGGTGGACCTGAGATGCCCCATACAGGCCACTTTGAGGAAGGAGGACCTCTTGCCCAGCTGCCTCTCCAGACATGCCTCACTCAATGTCATGCCTCCTCCAAGGACTCCACATCCGATGTCTGGTCAACACGGGTGGAACATCCGGGTCCAGCTGAGGCCAGCTGAGGTATCCTCTGGGACTGAAATCACAGCTCAGCTTCTTCCTGCTTACCAAAGGCACTGATCCAAGAACCTCTCTAATAAACAAATCTCTTTCTCAGAGTCTGCTCCTGGGATCACCCCCCTCAGCAGCCATGCAGGACCGTGTGGACCATCGTAACAACCTTAGCCGTCACTGAGTAGGATGGAGCCATTGCAGGTCTGAGCAGAAGGGTGTGACCTGTCTCGTTTTAACAGGGTCACCCTGGCTGCACAACTGAGAATGGACTCTGAGGGTTTCTGGAAGATGAGGGTGGGCACAGTGGGGAGAGTGAGAGATGTCAGATTCGGCATGCATTTGGAAGGATTTGTGGATGGTTAGGTGTGGGGTGTGGGTGACGGAGGACAAGGGTATGCCGAGGCTTTTGTCCTGAGCAGCTGGACAGATGGAGTAGCCCTCACCTGACTGTGGAAGACTGGGCAGAGGGGTTTAGAGAGAGGATCACGTTTTCTTTGTAACAGTCAGTCGCGAGTGCAGGTGGTTGGGTGTATGGGTACAGGGTTCAGGAGGAAGTCTGAGCTGATGACATATACGTGGATGGCATTTACAGCCACAAGGTGGCTGAACCCACCAGAGGGATGGAGGAGGGCGCACGAGGAGTCTGTCTACCGTGCCTCCCTGCAGTGGTCGAATGAGGAGGCTTAGGCAGGTGTGTGTCCTTTGCGCCCCTCACCACCACTAGCAGCTGTGAGGACAAATACAAACTAAAAATAAGGAAGAAGACCCTCTCCTTTCTTTCAGAACTCACTTTAGAAAACTTGTAATTGCACATTCTTCTCCATGTCTTTGAAAAGTCCGTAAATCCAGGACGTTTCCTCAAGGACCTGGGAGCCATCTCTTGAAATGTATTCATCCAGGATGGTGTCTCTACTGCCCGTTCCCAGGGAGGAGATGAGCTTAACTTTAGGGCACTAAATGCCAACCTCCCTCCGCATAAAGATACTCGGAAGTTGGCGATTTTATCTTGAAAACATGAACGTGATAGATTGTATCCACTCAGCTGTCTAAAGGGTGAGAGTTCTCTGTCTTTGCAGCCTCTCGTGGGGATTGCCCGCCAGGCATCCCGTTCTGGTTTAATGCTCATCTAAGAATAAATCTGCTTTATTTCTCCTTTACCTTTGTGTAGAGGTTTTCTGGGTTGGGAGCATATTTTGTTTTCCATTACACTTCCCCAGCACAGCGGCAGCCTTTGAGTTCCCAGGGCCCAGGCGGGCAGGCACCCGAAGGTGCCCAGTGAGTGGCTAAATGAACAAATGAGTGGGATCACTAAGCAGGTATTGTTACCCCCATTTTACAGAACCGGAAGGTTGAGGTCTCAGTGAGAAAACTGTGGAGTGCTGGGCTGTACCTCCGGACTTGGTGCTGGGGACAAAGGGGACAAAGGGGTCATGGTGCTGCAGCTCTGCGTCTGGACAGGGGCGCCACCCCCAGCCCGGGAGGTCCCCGAACTTCCCAGAAGGGGAGGCAGCCTCTTCCGGAAGCTCCGAAAACCCATTCAAAAAAAACAAAAACAGTGGATTCCGACTCATAGTGACCCTATAGGACAGAGTAGAACTGCCCCACAGGGTTTCCAAAGTGCGGCTGGTGGATTCGAACCGTCGATCTTATGGTTAGCAGCGGAGCTCTTAAGCACTGCGCGACCAGGGCTCCTGGCAGCCCTGAAGCGGTACTAAAACTCCTTTTGGTCGAGAGGAGGGGGATGGGGGAATGCGCTGCCACTACGCGCCCCTCCCCCACGCCCGCGGAGGGAGTGCTTTCCGTGGGGGTTCCCTGGGTGGGGTGACAGTGCGGTGAGGGAATGAGGTAGCTGGAGGGGGCGCTGGTGGTCGCTCGGTGGCTACTGCATGCCCCTCCCCTTGTCAGCCTTGGATGGGGGCCCCTGGGGCAGGGGTGGCCGCACCCCTCAGCCGGCCCCAGGCTGTAATTTGTCGTTATATATAGCGGCCGGCGCTGGGCCGATCCCACAGGCGGGCGGGGGCTATAAGAGCAGCCCCGGGCGCCCACCCTCTAAGCGGGCGTCTGACTAGGAGGCGACGGCGCTGGAACCCATGGACACGGCCTACCCCCGCGAGGACCCCCGGGCCCCGGCGACCCGCAAGCCCGATGGCGCCACCCACACGGCCCTCACGCTGGGCGAGCCGCGCCCCCAACTGCCACGCGACCACATGATCTGGTCCATCTTCAGCACCCTCTACCTGAACTTGTGTTGCTTCGGCTTTCTGGCGCTGGCGCACTCCATCAAGGTGGGCAGGGGCGCTTCACCGGGCTGCTGGGGGGCTCTTCGGGGCGTCTGCTCATGGGGCTTTGGGGCCACTTCATGGGGGCTGCTTGTGGGCCCCCCTGCATTCCATGGGGGGCTGCATATCAAGGGGAGGGCTACTTCTCAAGAGGGGCCTACTCCACCAGTGTGGTCTTGGAAGGGAGTCGCTGCTCTGGGTGGGGGTACTGCTCAACAAAAGGGGTAGGGCTGTCCTTAAGGGGGGCCCAGTCTATCTAAAAGAGGAGTCCCAGGGGGACCAGCCCACAGGGTCTTTCGTCACCTGATGCCTTTTCACTTGCTGGGACCCTTCAGCCCCTGGGGTTGGGGCAGGGGTGGGGGTGGGGGAGACTGACGTTGGCCTGGGATGGTGGGGGTGGGAGGAGGCTCGGGTCCCTGACAACCCAAAGCCCCACCAAACCCTTGTGTGGAGTAGGGGGCAGTGAAGGGAGTGTCTGTCCCCTCAGGCCACGCCCCTTCTATCTAGGCTGTGGGTTCAGGGGCTGCCCTGGTGGGGGAGGCAGAGCTTCCCAGGCCCCCAGCCCAGAGTATGCTTAGAGGCCTGGCCTGTCTGCAGGCCCGAGACCAGAAGGTGGCCGGGGACCTGGAAGCAGCCCGCCGTCTCGGCTCCAGAGCCAAGTGCTACAACATCCTGGCCGCTATGTGGACGCTGGTGCCGCCGCTGCTGCTGCTGGCCCTGGTGGTGACTGGCGCCCTGCACCTGTCGCGGCTGGCCGAGGGCTCCGCTGCTTTCTTCAGCACCAAGTTCGACGATGCAGACTATGACTGAGCCTCTGGACTGGGGGCCCTGCCCCAGGACACTGACCCCACCGTGACCCATCTCTGGAACCCAGACCAGGGGCCCAGGTGCTACCCTTGGAGCTCCCAGCCCCAACCTGGGCTCCTAACTCTGAAGACCCCCTCCCCATTAGACCCCAGAGCCTCATCCTAACCTTGAGGGTCCCATCCCAGGCCCCTAACTCTGTCCCCAGCCATGGCTTCCCTCCTCTCCCCACCCCCCAGGCTCAGGCTTCGGTTCGGAATTAAAAGCCTTGGTTCCAGAAGTGCCTCCTGGGCCTCATTCCTGGCTGTGTGGGGTAGGGACCATGCCACTGTCCTCAGTCCTCCTTGGCCCGATGTCTCCCCTGCACTCTGGTGGCGCTTGGAGGCCCTGTGGCTTCTAGGGCGTAGGCGCTGAGGATTTTAGAAGCAACCTTGGGAGCTCAGCTTTGATCACCCTGCTGCCGCCAGGGCTGTGGTTTAGTGGTGTTTGTTCCAGAATGTGTGGGGGTGGGGCTCCCTGACCCCACATGCGCCTCATTCGTGCATGTGTATGCACACGCCCACTCACGAGAGCATGAGCGTGTGAGCACACGCGTGTGCCCTCTGTCTTCACCTGAACTGAGTGTGCTCTTCTCCATGGGTCAGGTGTGTGCAGACCTCCTTTGTGAGCCACTCTTTTCCTGTGTCCCTTCAGTTCTGAGAAATCGCAGTCCTGCAGTGGAGTCCCTCCCTCCCGAGTCAGTGAGGGTGACTGGGAGGGCAGGTTGGGGCCTTCCCCAGTGCTTGGCACTCACACAGACACACATGCGTGTGTACACACATCACACACCATTCCACACGCTGCTGTCCACAGGCACGCGTCCTCCCCCCAATCTCTCTGCTTCGTCTCTGTCTCTCTGTTTCACATTCTGTCTGTCTTTCTCACACATAAACGGAGAAGCAGACAAGGAGAAAGTGGGAGGGGGAGGCATTTCTGAGTGTCCACGGTGCTGGGTGCAAGTCCCCCCTTGTGCCCCATGCCTCACCCCGCCCCAGCTGGCAGAGCCTGGCAGAGAGAGGCTGCCAAACACGCCCAAACCCTGTGTGGCTGCTGAGGCCTCGGCTGCCATGGCCAATGACAGGGCAGGGCTCACTGCAGGGGCCTTAACTGCAGGGCAGCTGGGGCTTTGAGCACCCCACCCAGGGCCCCTTCCCTCACAGAGCACCCCCCACCCGCTGTCCCGGAGCTCCCAGAGCCCTGCCCGCTACGGGACGAGTCTGCAGCCAGCAGATGGCCAGCTGGCCAGTGGTGGTTTCCACCGAAGCAGCCAGAGCCGAGAGGAGCCGGGCTGAGAGCTGAGAGGCCCCGCCCCCCAGGAGCACCAGACCAGTCATGCCTGACCCCAGAAAGCACCACACAAAAGTCCTTTTATGGTGAAGCCAGTTGCACCGGAGAGCCCTAAGTGACGCCGCTGGTGATGTGGCCCCGTCCCCCACATGGCCACCCTGCAGGTCCGGAGCCACCAGGTTGGGTGGGGGGGAGGTGGCGGTAAGGGGACGGGAGAAGCAGTGCTGAAGGGGGCACAGACATTGCGCATGGACATCAGGCGCGGATGCCAGCCTGGAGGGCCCACAGGGGGAGGCTGATGGAGCATGGATGTGGCATGAGGACCTGCTGGGGCCCCTGTGAGTTAGGCTGGAGAGGGGCTCGGCAGGCCAAGGGCTCCAGAAGGGGCAGGTGCAGGCTGCTGGGCGCCTGCAGAGTGGTGGCCGGAGGGGCGGACCCAGAGAAATCTCTGCAGCCAGCAGCCTTATTGTTCAGGGCAGGGCCCAGGACGGCGCCGGGGAGACGGACTTGGAGTGAGGCTGGAAGGACCCGAGGGTGTCCTGGAGGGAGTCCTGGGGACTCTGGAGCAGGTGTCTGATGTCTTCAAAGAGATCTCAGGAAACTCGAGCTAGAACTCCCTACTTCCTGAGGGAGGCAGCTACAGGGGGGACTTTTGTATCTGGCCAGCGGATCGGGGAAACGAGACCTTGTGTCCTAGAGAAGAGAGGGCCATGGTGGGGTGGGGGCACACACAGGGGCCACCCTAGGGTCACACGCCCCCAAAACCTCTCCTGGGGGTCATGCACCCAGATTCCAGGGTGGGTCTGGGGGTGGGCTCCTACCTGGGGGCAGGGGGAGCCGAGCCAGTGATGGCCTCAGCTCGGCCTCCAGTGGGGGGGCCCAGGGTCCAGCACGGGCTGTGACCTCAATCGTCACAGAGTCTTCAGAGAAGGAGAAGTTGACTTTGCTCCCCTGATAGGACAGGCCAGAGACGAAAACG